CCCATTCCGCGGCACTACACGGCGCAGACCCGATCCGTACCACAAAGGTGGGTACTCTACTTAGTAGGTCAGCAAGCGAATATATGGAACATTCGATAGTAACAGTATTTTGTCAACACCGGCCCGAATTGACTCAGCACATATCTTCCATTGTCGACTCACTTGGCCCAAGCTTCAAACGGGAATTTACTGACCACTTCTTCCCATCAATCTTTCCTGAACCACTAATCCAGGCCAGCTAACACTTACCGAATTCATCCGTGGTTTGGTGCGGCATTGGCTTACCCCCATCCTCGCTTCTCGACCGGAATATGACTGATAACCTGGTCCTTCTCGGTATTTCGTACTCTACACTAACCCATTCCGCGGCACTGCACGGCGCAGACCCGATCCGTACCACAAAGGTGGGTAATCTACTTAGTAGGTCAGCAAGCGAATATATGGAACATTCGATAGTAACAGTATTTTGTCAACACCGGCCCGAATTGACTCAGCACATATCTTCCATTGTCGACTCACTTGGCCCAAGCTTCAAACGGGAATTTACTGACCACTTCTTCCCATCAGTCTTTCCTGAACCACTACAGCGACTATGAGAGCCATACCATATGTTCGTACATTGTATCATACATACTTGCCATTTTTGAAATAAATAATATTATCCCTATCATCGACAAGTTCTTGCTGGATGCGGAAACTGTTCTTCACTGCTGTTCCATCTTCAAGATATCATATAGGTCGAATTCTATTGGTCCAGGAATCACCATAAAATTCTTTGTCGAATATAGTCCAAGATGATCCATGACCCACTATAAAGAAAAAAGTGCCACATCGGACTGACGTCCGTAGGACAATGATCAGAATCGGATAAAAGTCCTGTCCACTTTGCCAAAGGACCGACGCGAGCTGACGCTCTTAATGTACCTAAAGACGTCGGTGCTGGATTGAGCAACGCTAGCGTGCTATGCCCTGGTGGTGCACGTGATGGTGTACTCACTGACAGACTAGAGAATGGACTTCTTGTCATATCCAACTCCCAAGATTATTCTTTAGCATCATATCTGTTTGGCCTAGGTGGAGGCATGGAAAGGGCATGTCCAGGCAGAATCTTGCCTATAGTCGATCCCAATAAACAGATTTTCCGTTTGCTTTCAATTTTGGCGACATCATGTACCTGCTGCGACGTATGATCTTGTGGCAGTGTTGCATTGGTTGGACATGTGGTATAGATTGTGACTCCTACACGTGTGGTCTAATTTGTGGCGGGACGTGCTCCATATGTGAACCGTGGGATATTTGATTATGTCCTGGATATCGTGTATGTTTTAGCGTCATAGTTTTTCGTAGTGTCATAGGCGATTGAACATCCGTTGTTTGATGTTGCGATGGGTGAGTAGGTAGAGAATGTAAGACTTGTGTTGCAGTGTTCAGCTGTAATTGCAACAACTCTCATGTACCTATATGCCGTTTAGTGGCAAAATTATGTTCATATCTGCATCCATATCCAGTTTCGACCAAGGCTAACATGGTTACCCATTTTACCACGGCATAGGTAAAACCATAAACCCTGCTGTGAAATCAGCAACTACTTTTATCGAAGCGTTTCCCGTGACCTCATTCATGGGATCTGAACCTCGCCTCGTTCAGCGGTGGGTTTCTTGATGATCTTAGAGTTCGTACGCTCTAACGCTATATCGACCCATCTGTTGTATCAGAATGCTGTACTAGTGTCGTCGGTTTTGATTTACCGGTAGCCGAAACATGTTGAGGCGATTGGATTGAAGTAGCTCATCAATTATAAGGTCCCCATACAGTTGGATACGAGTCTTACAGTGGATAGATAAATATAATCTTATTCCATAAACATTGCACAAATATCGACCATCAAACTGATTATGAAAAACTCTGCATTGAACAATACACCATCTGCGTCTTGATCCTCAAATTCAGAGGCTGGCATTGTCGACCTGACGTGTGACGCATATCTAAGTAGCGAACTTTGTATCCTGATAGAAGGTTGGGGCGAGGAATGGTGTGGGCATCATAGAACCTACGGTTTGGGATGGGTGGTGCTCTTCGACACATTGATTGTTTTAGACTCCGGACGTAGAGTCGGCCTCTCCAGACGAGCGGCGCACGTGTGCCTACTTAATATCTGAAGTACTAGAATAAGGTGGGCAGGTATTATATTCCTACGGAGAAGGAATGGTTGTCTAATATGACAGGCGAAGATTGAATCACTACGGTGGATCTGGGCCAGTGTTTCCGTCAGTTGAAAGTGGCGGAGAAATCTCGCAAGTACCTGAAGTTTACGACACCCTGGGGTCCGTATAGGTTTGTGAGGATGCCGTTTGGCGTACGGGAGGCATCGTGGAGAACGCATCAGGCGTTGGAGGCGCTGTTTTTATTGGTGATAGCCTTTATGTGGTAAATTGATGATGGTAGCTATAGTCACAATGCCGCACTAGAGCATTGGGATTGTACAGTTCTGTTCATACGCACCTCGACATGTACCTTTCAGACCCTTATAAACAGATATCCACACAGAAATCCAAAAAATTCTGGTTCCAATTAAACAGCTAGCACGGATTTGATACCATCAATGTTGCTTGTGCGAGTGTTTGCTCGACGCGCTATTGAAGGAAGTGAGCGTTCATGGCAAAATCGAGAAGGTCGCATCCGCTTCAGTATGAACTTTCTTCAGGTATCGACAACTAATTTTACTATGAGTAGATTAATATATATGTAGACAAACGCACTGATCAAACGGCGAGAACAATGAGTGTAATGTCATCTGGTTTGCCGCCCAGCATGTCAGTATATCCGTGCTTCTCTGCCTCGACCGTGAACGGACTACGCCTCCTTTGATCCTTCGAGAGCGACTCAGCTTTCCTAACTAGGGATGTGGCAAGTTTATCCATATTGCCTACACCTACTTCTTTGAAAGTGGCCTCGATATCCTGTTTGAGTAAAAGATAGAAAGGTGCCCACGAGTTCCGCATTAGTGTCTGATAGATGTCCAGAGATAGAACAAGCATACATGTGTGGTAAGTGAACCTAGGAGTGTATAGAGATTTTCACTCACGCACCCTTGTAAGCAAATTAGGAAAGTACCGTTAAAATTAGCGTTTGTGGGGTGGGTGTGTGGGTGTGAGCGTAAAGGGGAGGGGTTTGTATGTAGATGTAAAAACCGAAGATTCGATAGCCACCGATATGCGAGCATGAATTTCTAAGTGAACCCTCCAAGGTTCAGGACACCCACGCACATACAGGTAATGTTTAGTTATCGAAATAAACTATAGAAACTCTAAACCCAAACGTAAGCATCAGGGCATCCCTGAGGCATTCATAATTCAAAGTTTTACGATTGTACACAATTCTGTATATGCTATAATATATATATATATATATATATATATATATATAAATATATATATATATATATATATATACATATCTATATACATATACATATATATATATACATATATATATATATATATATACATACATACATACATACATACATATATATATATATATAAATAAAATATATATATCCGAGCCGTACTTACCGATGGGAACATATTGTCAAACAAGCCATCAGTGGCGAGTAGCATAACCTGTTCATCCTTCATCTGGTACTGGAATAGATCTCCGTCTGCCATAGTGTGCATCATGGCACCCTCGCGCATATCTGGAGGCATCACAGCCAACTGATAGGGGAAATTGAACCCGTGCTGTTGCGACGGTGTCCGTGCTGCTAATTTGCCATCTCTATCGTATATTTGCAGGCCAGAATCACCTAGGTTGCACACAGTCATTATACGAGTCTATAGAACGTACGAGAAAGGTGGGCAGCATGTGGGTTAATTATAGTAAGAGGGCACCACAGGCACTGATTGTTAATTATATTCAATATCAACGGACACTAAACCAAAATATAGAAGAAGCAGAAAAAAATACATAACACTATGAGTCTATTTCGAACAAAGATCAATATATATGCAGTCAGATAAATGCGGGCATATGTATATAAATATGCATACTATACTATACTATATGTATATATATATATATATATATAATATACTTACATCATGGATATGTGCAAGTATATATAGCTATAAATATAAATATAAATATGAATATATATATATATATTTATATAACATACATGGGTGGGAGTACGTAAACATATATTATACTTACACCATGGATATGTGCAAGTATATATAGCTATATATATATATATAAAACATACGTAGGTGTGAGTACGTACACATAGCTATATAT